CAACTCATTTACGCGTTAGGCATCTTCCAGTCAGATGTGGCTGGCTGGTAGGGGATCAGGTTGTGCTTTCTGTACATCACTTTCCTTCCTACTTCTTGCTTTCTGCCTTTTTCCTGGGGTTCCTGGGGCAGCCTGCCACGTGGATTTATGCATGAAGATCTCTGTTGCAGGTGGAAAGCCGAGGAGAAGACATCCTCTTGTTCTCCCCTCCGTTTTGGGAGCTTCCAAGAGGCAAGAGCTGGCCCGAACAGCCGGCGAGGCAGGGACTTCAGGCATGCTGTGCGTTGCCGCCTCCTCGCCGGTGCTTGGGCAGTCACCATGGTGCTGCCGTGTATGGTTTCCTGGCATTCTGTCACTTCCACGTGACTCCAAGTGCTTCTTTTCCTTCCTTTCATTCAGTCTATAAGACCTGAAATGCTCGGGCAGCAACGCTGACGGGACTGGGAGCTTCCGGGCTGACCGTGCAGCCGGCCCGCCTGGGATGTGGGTGTAAACAGGGGCTCTGTGACTTGAGAGATGGAAAAATCCTGCTGCACAAATGAATGAGTTGTTTATAATCCTTAAACTGTGCGCTAAGGGTTGTGGTTAGATTTGTTTTACATGAAAGCCTCCCTACTGAAGAAAACTTTCCTTTTGGCATCTGTGTGTTCCTGTTGAACTGAAGAAAGCTCTACCTGACTTTACTCAGCACCTTGCAGAAGCTCTTTCTGATGCAGAGCAGCTCAGTGAAGGCAGCGTTAAGATTAAAGTAACAAAGTGTGTAATGTCCATCATGATGGTGCTGTAAATGCAGCAAAGCACCAGGTGTGTATCTGAGCATGGTCAAAGTCCTGCTGGAAGGAAATCACCCTTGGAAATGGTTGGCGGACGAGGCTGCTGGTGTCACGTGTAGCTCGGCTCCCTGCGCCGGATCCCGGTGCAAATTCTCTGGGAAGCCTCAAAAGCCTCTCCGAGTTTGTGGCACAGGAGCCTCTAGCAGGGTGTGCATGTGGCTGTGACCAACTGCGACTTCTCTGGGACTTGCAGTGATTTATCCTGAGCTCTAGGAGTTCGCTTCTAGCAAAGACACCAGCTGGAGATTAAAAGCATCGTGGAAAGGAAGGCTGGAATAGGGTAACTGGTGTTTGGAGAGCTGTTGTGTTTGCAGCAGCCCTTATATATAAATCACTTGCAGCCCACAGTTCAGTCACCGCATTGGAGTTTTGCAACAATGTGTTTTCTGTCTTGGTTTATGTAAGTGGCATTTTGGAGTTGAGGAATGAGCAATAGAGGAGGTTTCTTGCGTGAAGAGGCTGGAGATGTTCAGAGGAAAATTTCCAGCAATTGCAAAAGATGATGATAATGATAGCAATAATAACAGTGCTTCTCTCACGGGGTTGAGAATACATGGGTCAGAGTATAGCCTGGTATATATCCCTTCCCCTTTCCTGTTTTCCTGCCGGAAAGCATATGGAGAATATGATAACTTCTTTCAAACTTGCTCTGTGTCAGCCTGTGTGTTATCGTCCAACAGAGGCTGTGTGAGAACAAAAACGATCTTCCCACTCACCCAAGAATTTGCAGACAGACGGGGCTCTGTCAGAGTAGGAAAATGCCACCCAATTGCCATGGAAATTCATTTCTCTGTGGGTTTTTCATACCCAGTCGTGGCAGGCACACGTGCAGCAGGCAGCTCCGAGTCTGTTCGCTGGGATGAGAACAGAGCCCCAAAGCTCCTCTAGTCAGAGGAGGGCAAAACTTCCCGGCCGTAGGAGGTGGGAGGCCGAGATGTGGGCTGCTTGTGGCCGCTGTGTGTGATGGTGTTGGCAGCGAGAGCTCTGACTAGAGGTTTCAGCGGTCTGAGCCCGATAAGTGAATTAGAAGAAGCAGGGGAGCCCTGGTCTCACGCTCACTTGGTCTGAAATAAATGCCAGATGTTGAGGAAAGGTTTTGATTAAGCTCCGTGTCTTCATCCTGCGTCCCGCTCTTTCCCAGATTGCCGACGGGTGTTTAACTCGGCGTTCTGGGAACTGCCTGGTTGTGAAATCCCCCTTGGCGGCCGTGCGCTCGGAGGCATTTGGTGGCTGGAGCGGAGCAGCTGCCTCCGGAGAAGTTTCCCGGGTCGCCGCCAGCTCAGCCGAGGAGGAGGCCCCGGGTTGACCCCTCTGTTTGAGGAGGGCGTGCGGATAGCAGGGGCTTTTCTGCTTTTTGGTCGTCCTTTGGACAGCACGTACCTGTGTGAGCCTGGCTCTGTGCAACCAGAGCAGAGGGTGGTCGTGGAGATTCCCAGACAGGGGAATTTAGCCACTTTTTGCCAAATAAGGACTAGGAGCTAAAAACTTCTCCTTTCCTGTGCTAGTGAGCTCCGTTCTGCTTTGTTTCCATCACTGGAGACCCTCCCTTGGGTCAGATTTGTTTCTCACCTCTTCCAATTAATTCAGTTGCCCGTGTTTTCTCAGTGGAATACTCCCACTTCTCCATTTGTATTAACTTTGCTTTCTTAGGACTACATTGGTGCAGCGAGCATTTAATATGCCAGGATAGGAGATGCACTGGCAAGATCAGTTTCCTAAAGAAATTCTCCATGTAAGCTGTTCACCTGAGTAGCCAGGGAGGGAGAGATGCTGGGAGGGCAGGAGACGTGACCCTCCAGCCTGGCTGTTTGCACCTCCCTTGAGGACAGGAGGAGATTTCTCACCTCACGTGGCTGTTCCGGATTTTTAGGTCCCTGTCCCGTGACACAGAGCTATGAAGCTGGGCACATGCTGCTATAGCTAAGAGTTCAGCAGCGCAGGAGCGAAGGGCACTGATAGGCAATAAATAAACATGCAGGTTTGGTGGTGTCGGAGCCTGGCACCGTGGCTTTCCTGCCTGTCCTGCTCCTGTTTCTTGGCGCGTTGCTGCAGAGCGAGGCCTGGCCTTGCCGCGGTGTTGGACACCCTGCCGGCGCTCAGCCCGGCTCCGCGGATCGCGTGCGGCTCCTGACGTTCCCACCTTCCTCGGCAGGGAGAAAGGAAGCTGGGTTTTGCCTCGGCTCCTCCAGGTGTTTTCCTGTGTTCCAGATGCCCGTGCTCTGGAGGTACAGAACTGGGGAGCGGAATAGAGAGCGGCAAAGAGCTGGCTTTTAAAAAGCCATTTTTCTCACCTGATGCAAAACAGGCTGATTATATCCATTGTTTCACTGAAACTTTTGACTTGTTACCCTTTTCATTGCTGTTTTTAATCTATTGCCTCAAGGAGGGGAAATCTCCAGGCAGGAGTCCTGCTTGAAGAACCCCCTTGCAAAACCTTTTGCAGGGAGACCAGATGATTTAGAACCAGGATGTGCCTTGTCTTTCCATGCTGCTTGGAGGAGCCCGACTTTGGGTCTCCTGCATTGCTCCCTGACAGATGATTTAGAACCAGGATGTGCTTGGAGGAGCCTGACTTTGGGTCTCCTGCATTGCTCCCTGCCTGCTCTCCCCATAGCGATCCCTGTATCCCGGTACGGAAAAGGGGGATGGAGGGGAGAGCCTGGGCCATGACGGGCGAGCCTGTATTAAGGCACCTCTTTTATTTATAATGTAACACGCTGCTTTCTGTGCTGAGTAGATAAAGAACCCAGCTTGCTCCTTGCTGGTACAAGTCATGGAAAAAGCTCCCCTGCTGCAGTGCAGATCATGTGTTTGCCTCATGAATAGATCACTTTGAGTCAGCTCTGCCCTGGCTTTTCTCACTGTTACCCTTGCTACAGAGGTGACCTCTTGCACTAGCCAACAGGGGTAAACCTGCATTTGGTATAAAATGTAGCCTATAAAAACCAAAGTTGGCAGCATATCATATTTTTTTTCTGTTTCTTAATGGGATTTTCTCCTCAGTGATATAAGGCTTTTGCCCCAGAGTTTTTGGCTTCAAACTTTGGCTCTGTGCCAGCAAGTGGAGGGGACTGTAAAATGAAACGAGGTTATCGAAAGGAATTGACCCTGCCTGCTTGGAAGGAAGGGAAGGAAGCAGTGTTGGGGAACAGGGCTGCCAACTGATAGTCGGTTTTATCTTCCAAGTTTAGCAAGTAATGGTCACTTTTAAAAAAATCAGATGGTAAATATATCCCAAGCAAGGGACACTCCTCGCTGTGGGTGAGGGCAGATGGAGGACAGCAGAAGGTGGAGAAAACACAGGGGTTTGGGGCTCTACCTCCAGGGGCACAAATTGGCTCTTCCCCTGTATTATCCCGCCTGTCCTGACAGGTCTGTTTCTGAGTTCCCGGGATAACTCAGTGCAGAGAGAGAAGCAGCACCTGGGTTGGGACAGCGGAAAGGAGAGATGTGGAAAGGGGAGGAGAGGCAATGTCTGGAAAGAGCAGAAAGGAAGGAGAATCGTGGAGTTTGTAAACAGCAGTTGGCTCTTTGGTTTTGATTATTGGCTGTAATTACAAGTCAAAGGTCCTAGGGAAAGGAGAATTCATTTTTCACAGGCAACTCTCTTATCAGTTGCTGCTACAACTGCTTAGGCAAAGGTATTTTTCATGCTGATTCATGGTACAGGTTTTGTGGAGCTCTATCAGAGGAGGGAACAAGATTTGAAGCCAACATTTAAACCTGCAGTTTCTGAGATCAGAGGATGGGGGTGCATCAGAGAAATCTGTGAGACTTGAAGTCTGATGTATCCAAAGCTCCTGTGAGCTTTGAGATTTTTCTCTGTGAAAGTAACTTTGAAGCAGGGAGAAGGGCATGAATGTGACTCTTTGGAGAGAATGAGACTCTTTGGGAAGAGAGAGTGTTGCAAATCTGATTGACAGGTGCCAATTAATTCTTTTGAGATGGGAGCAGCACATGCATTTTGTAAGAACATGAGTTATAAGTTGCTCCTTGCTGCCACTACAGGAGTGCTAAATCCGTGTGGGGTATTCTGGCATTGAGCTGCCCTGACCGCGGAAGCTGCAACAGTCACTCCTGCAAGAGCTGCAGTGCCAAAAACGCTCTGTGGTGCCCGTGGACGGGCTGTTATCCCTGCTGACCCCCTGCACGCTCCTGGCCCAGGACATGCGGTCGGACTGGGGCTCTCGGAGACTCAGGTGGGATCCACCACGCTGCTCCCTCCACAGCTTTTCTGGAAAAGCAGCCTGGAAGGAAGTGTTTCCAGAGCCGGGGAGGCAAAGCTGGAAATGAAGCAGCTTGCTCTATAGCACCAACCTGATTTTTTTTCTCCTCTTTCTGCATTTCAGAAATTTCAACTCCCTCAGCAAAGAAAACGTGTATGAGAACAACAAGTTGGTAAGTGATTTTACCGTTTTATTTCTGGTCTTCTCTATAGCCTGACACCTTGCTTGCATGGTTTAGCAAAAGAAACCCTGCAAATGCAGTGTATTAAGTGTGCCATGTTCAAATCATTTGACTTATTCCACATGCATCCAACCTTTTGACTCAAGTGGTAATATCCAGGCCTGCTGGCTGCCCTAGAGCACCCTTATTCTGCTCACACTCCTTTGCTGGCCGTACATTAATGTATGTTTACGGCTTTAGTGTGTCCTGTTACCTCAGGGACCAGCTCATTTTGTCCTGTCATGTCTCATTTTGTGCAGATCTGATCATTCGGCCAACGCCTGTCAAATAAAAAGCCCCTATTTCTGTGCAATGCTCCTCACCTCTTCCATAAACCTATCTAGTGCAGTGCACTCTGCAATGAAAGGTGCTCTTGAAATCCTGTCTGGTCTTGCAATGAACATGGACTTTTTCTGAAAGGAGCCAAGGAAGAGCCTGGGAGGTTATAAAGGGGACACCAGGGCCAGGCAGGTGCTTTGAGGAGGGGTGTTTGCTCTTCTCTCTGCTGCTGTGATTCTGAGCTGTGCTCGGTGCAAAGCTGCAGCTAGAAGGGAGCAGGAGGATCAATATCCCCTTCCCCCAGGCTGGCCAGAGCTCAATGGGATGGCAGAAAAGGGGGATGTAGCTATGACAGTCAGGGATGTAGAGAAAGGGTTTGGAAGGAAGTGATAGCAACGGGATGGGGAAAAGGGAACCAGCTCCAAGCAGTCAGTGTGGCCTCTCCCTAATCTGGCTGGAGGCAGCAGCAGAAACTGAGGCAAAAATGCTGGAGGTCAGAAAATGGGCATGAACATGTTGAGTACATGCTGCTTGTGAGGGATGGAGCAGGAGCTGGGAGTAGCTGGTGTGGGAGAGGAAATGCAGGGAGTTTTTCCCCTCTTCCAATCACTCCCAGAGGTGGAAGTGCTACTGGAAGGCAGGGAGGTCCTAAAACCTTGTCCTCCCTGTACCCCTCACTCCAGGATGGGATTTGTTCTGTCCACGAAGGAACTCGAGGTCGGGCATGCCAGCTCCCTCCCAGCCCTGCATTCAAGCTTGGGCTGAGCGCGTCCAAGGAAGGATTTTTTTCCTCCCACTCTCCCGCACAAAGACAAAGGCAGTGGATCAAATACTGCTCTTCCCTTGGCATCGTTCCACGCGGCTCCGCGGCTGCTTGGCAGGAGCCCTGGCTGTGAGCAAACTGCAGCCTGAGCCTGTCTGAACTGGAGGGGTGACATCCTGGGACACAGTGACCTGCCCGAGGGGGTCCCTGCCTGCAGGAGAGCCCCGCGCGGTGCTCCTGAGCTGCCTCTGCCTGTTGGCCCTGGTCACAGCGCCCGCACAGTCCTGCAGCTGCAGCCTGCAAATGTGTTGAGCTCTCTGGGGCTCAGCCCTGCGTGCTCCTCGCTGCTAGGGGAGGTTCAGGCTGAGCTTTTTGCACGGAAGGACCTTTGGTGTTTGCCAATGTCAGGGCATCCACCATGGGCCACCATCCTGGTCAAAGTGCTGTGCAGCCCCACGTGTTTTTCCTTCCCCAGGTCTATCTGATGGTGTCTCTTCCACAGGTGACTTTGCTTTTCTCTGGGAAATGAACTGCACAAGCCGCGTCTGCTGCTTTTATTAATGAAAAACTTCTCTAAGCCTGTCATTAAAACAGCTGCTTTCCTCCCTCCTTTCCCTGCATTTCTTAGTTTGTCTTTTATTTTGTGGGCTTTCTCTTCCTTCACGTGCCATAGGATGATCTGTCTGTGCTGCTGTCACTGCTGGTGTCCTTGCTGGCCTGGCTCTGGTTTGAGTGTAGTGGCACCTCCACACTCTGCTCTGTCACAGGGTTTTCCCTCTGATGGTCCTTGCGACATGAGCGGATCTGATTTCTCTTCCTCTGCTCTTGCTTAGATCCCCCTTGATGCCTCACTCCTCAGTAACTTCTTTTCAGGAGCTGTATTACTCAACTAAAAAAAATCTTCTCCAGGCTACAACTTGCCATATAAGGTCTTTTGCTGAAGAAGAATGTGTCACTCCTCAAACGCCAAAAATAATAATAACAAAAAACTGTATATGTGGGTGGCTTTTTTGCTAAAGGTTTCAAAATACATAAATATGAGAAAAGTCTCGAGAAGCCCTGGTGCTGGTTCATGGGGATGGCGGTGACGCGGCGGCGGCGTCGCAGGAGAGCAGCCTCCTCGGTGCCCCGCGCGACCCGCTGCGGTCTGAGCGGTGGCCCCTGCGGCAGGGGGTGGCCTGGCCTGCGTTCCCGCTAGGATGCACCCTGGGAATGCCGGCCAGCAAATCCCGCTGGTCGGAGCCGTCGGGCAGCCAGCGCCTTGGGGAGCACTGCAGGGAACAGAGCAGCGACCTGGTTCCAAAGCAGCCACAGGCCGGCAGCCGGGGTGCCGCAGCCCGAGGTGATCACTGGGAGCATCCATAGTGCCTGCTCAGCTCCATTTTTACTGGGATACCCAATGGAAAAAAATGGTAATTGTCGTGCTAAAAAACAGTGGCTGTTTGTTTCCCCAGAGCAGGGCTAGCTGCCTCGTACCCCAGCCCCGCCGTGCAGCCGTGCCAGAGGCCGGATGCAGAGGGTTTTAACATGGCCAAATCCTTCTTTAACTCTTTGACTGTGGGTTCTGTGGCAGCGCTCCTGCAGGTGCTCTGTTCCTTTGCTGTGTGGGCATTTCAAAGGGGACGTGCCAAAGGGAAAGGGATTTGATCCTTTAAGTCATGAAGGAAGAAGGCTGAAGAAAGTCCTTAGCAAAGGCCCTGCAGTGAGCTGAACAAAGGAAAAGTTGTTTTAGGGATCTTGCACTTTTTTGTCTTCTTATAAAGGCTCTTGTTGAGATGCAAAAAATACTTTTTTTTTTTTCTTTCTTTCTTTGTTTCTTCATCTGACTTTGCGATGCCCTCTGCTTTGCAACCGCAGGAGCAAAGTGGACTCTTTGCTCCAAAAACATGTTAGATAATGCAGAAATAGATAACCTGGAAGCAAATTGGGCATCATCAGGACATTTTCTGTGCTATTCCTCTTATACACTCTGTAGCCTGGGAGAAATATTCCCTTTTGCAGACTGAGATTTCTCCCTTTACAAGTGAAGACGAGCCAGCAGGAGGCAGGAACCCTTAATTTTTGCACGGTGCTCAGAGAGAGAGAAAGCTGCAGGCAACCACCAACTGCTGTCCCGTTAACCGGGAGCGCTCCCAGTCAGGCTGTGAGCCTGGAAGCAAATCCAGACGGATGCATCTCCTTGGGTTAGACCCTGCTCTCCGTCTCCAGCTGTGCAGACCCAGATAGAGGCAAACTTGAGCAAGAGCAGGGGAAGCCCAGGTGAGTTCCTATGCAGTGGGTTATGGCCAGCTTGCCAGGCCAGATTTTTGGCTCCCTGCCTGAATTTCTCAATGCTGTGGCTGGAAGCCATGGCTCTGTAGCAGCCATATGATGCAGCAGTTAAACCAGTGCAGCTGTTCACCAGTAGAGCTGTGGTTCGAGTGGGTCTGTTTGCACTGGATTTTAGTACTTGGGCTTTGCTGCCTGGCTTGGACTAGACCTCTTTTTCTTTTCTTCCTCCCCTAGGCATTTCGAGTGGCGGAGGAAGAGCTGGGGATCCCGGCCTTGCTGGATGCAGAGGATATGGTTGCTCTCAGGGTACCAGACAGGTTGAGCATCCTCACCTACGTTTCCCAGTATTATAACTACTTCCATGGACGGTCGCCTAGTAAGTACTGTTATTCCCTGGAGGTGTAGGAAGGACCAAGACTTAATTCTTTGCTTGCCATTGCCTTCTAGTGGGCTTGGAGAATCAAAACAGGTTCCAGAGAGGCTTTTTGGTACGAGAACTATTTCAATGGCAGGTTTCACCTCTTTGCGCCCTGGCCTGACAGTAGCATCAGTGGTTTTGAAAGGGAACAGTGCTGTTCCTTGTCTTTAGTGCCTTCACATTTAAAATTCAAACTAAAATTTCTTAAAATACTATCAAAAATTATTCTGATTTATGGTTTCCTTCCTCAAGTCCTTTTCCTCTCCAGCCTTGTGTGTCCTTCACACCCTGGGAAGCTGGTGTGAGCGTGGAGTCTAGGGCAACTAAAGCTTCTCTGTGAGGCTGGCTGCTGTGAAACAGCATCCGTGGTAGCGCTTGTACAGCAGATCAGTATAAGGAAGTAGAAGAAAACGACCCCCTTAACTGACATAATGGTTGTAGCAATTCTTTCAAACATAAAACAGGCCACAGGGCTGCCAAGACATTATATTCATGTACTGGAGAGTTTATCTGGGCTCACAGGAGCATTATTATAGACTTGGTTTATATTTGGCTTTAAGCTCATACAAAATGAAATAATACGATAAACCAATTTCACAGGTTCCTCCAGAGGAAACTTCAGAAAGTGGGACATGAATGACTTAACTGGTTAAGGTGAATCTAGATGGAGAATAGAGATTCATAATGAAAATGTCCTAAATCTTGGAAAGGAAGCAGGGTTCTCTGAAAGCTGCCTCTAATATCTAAATACTTCCCCCCTCCACTTCTCTACACATTTGAGCATGCTCTCTCTCCCCCATGAAAACCTCTTCCCTCCGTCATCCTCAGTTTTTAATTTTGTTTTAAATCCATGCTGATTGAACTCAAACTCCATCATGTTCATGCCAAGTGGTGGGATCTGGGTCAGTCTGGGGTCTGTACCCCCTCCTGCAAACATCTCTCCTACCATGTCATCAAGAACTGCACATTCTTATACTCTCTGGTGTCTCGCAAAATGCTTTTCTTGCATTCCTATTGCTGGGGCGAGTGCGCGTGCTGGAAAACGAGCCCAGCTAGGAATGTGCCCTCTGACACGGAGCAGACTCCAAATCCCATACTCCTGCCCTTGGAGTGGACTCCAGCAGGACTGCGAAATAAGCAGGATGCAGAAAGCTGCAGAGGGAGAGCGGGTGATGTTTTATTGAGGTCCTGTGTTCGCAGCAGAGTAGAGTTGAAGCCACCCATCTCTGTGCTGGGCTTTGGGGATTTGATAAATGGAACGAGTGGAAAGTGAGGGCATAGTCTGAGCCTAAACAGTTCGCAGGGTCGGATGTCACTAGTCTGTTGGTCCCTGTGGTGAAGGAGCCTTGACTGTTTATTTGGATAGCAACTTTTCATGAGAGAAGACTGCTGGGAACTGAGCTGCATCTCTGCTCCCTTCGCCCTGCACAGACTCCCTCCCTGTTTACTGAGAAGGGTATAATCTCTTTTCAGACAGATGGTCATTTAGTTGGTGGCTGTTAGAAGTGAAGCAGCAGCTCAAATAACACTTCTGAGTTCCCACAAGGAATGCAGAGAAGTCTAATACGGAATAAGAAGGGGCACAAAAATAGCATCCCTGTGAGCTGTCTGGGGTCCTGTCTGTCACAATTATGCTTGAAGTCCTATTTCCCAGGGAGGTCTGATCCTGCACTTCCCAGGGCATGGGACATTAATTCCCTGTTCTTGACTGAAGTATGTTGGGGTTCCCTTTTCTTTCTTCCCAGCCTTTTCTGACTTCAGAGGAATTATTTCCTCTATAAAGAAAAGAGGATTGAGCATTTCCAGCTCTTCTGTGGGGAGTCCTGCTGGTTTCTACATAAGTGCCACCATGGTACCACCGAGTGTCTGTCACGTAATTACCCATTTTTCATGATCATTTCTGCTTCTTGAAAAGCCTGCTTGCTCAGTGAGCAGTAATCCCATCTGGGAGGTGGGCTGAACAACTATCAGTGAAGGTTCAGGGTCTCTAGGAAGTCTGGAGAGGAGCAACTTGAAGAAACCCCTTTTTCATTTCAGTTCCTTAGCTGTGATACACAACAGCAGTGCCTGTCTCAGTGTTGTTCAAATTGAGCCAGACTGTTGGCCAGATACGTACAAAAGGTCTCATCTATACCACAGAGACCTGGTGTTTTCTATTTTTTCCTCTTGTTCCTCCATGAGATTTGCCCAAGAAGAAAAAAAATGAGTAGTTTCTGCTGTCACTTGGTTCCAACATATGTCAACTCTTGCCCCTCACTCCTCTACAGAACTGCTTGCGAAGGAAGCCTCTGTCTCCTTGTATGGTTTGTACAATATCCATCAGGTACCTTTTGATCTTTTTGTAAAGTAAATGACTCCTAAGCCTATGCGTTTGCCTTACGTTCCCTTAAAATCCTCCCTTTGTCCTTTCTTCCAGTTGGAGGCATGGCTGGCATCAAGCGTCCGTCCTCCGAGCCCCGGGACGAGCCTCTTGGGAAGAAAGCCATTTCTGAGCCTGCTAAGCCAGCTCCTCCAAAAGTGCCTCTTGCTCACCCACCAGCCAAGGCCAAGCCAAAAGAAACATCTCCAATCGCCACGGTGAGAAATGGGGTTTAGGGCATTCTTTATATCTTAAATCTTTGCAATAACCGGGTGTATTCTCATAGTTCAGGGCTTCTTTGTAGTGAGGACTTGGTCTCTGAAATTTCTGCTCTCTGGTTATAGCATTTATTCCAGAGGTCTGGTTACTGGTGGTAAACCACAGAGCCCACAGCCTCAGGGGGAGTCACTGGAAAGCCACCAGCCAGCTAGCACTCATCTGGTGGTAAACAGGACACGGCTGCCTTAGGACATGGCTGGATTCTGGAAATGGAGGTTTAAAATAAAACCAGGACATATAATTTTTGCTGGAAAGCATTGATTAAGTTTGTGGAAACAGTTTAAAAGAAGAGTAGAGATGAAAACAAGGTGGAAGGAGGGAAGTTCCTCTCTCAGCAGTGGAAAGACCCTTCCCCATTGGTTCAAATCGGGGAGCTTTGAACCTTAGTTTCCCAACATGTGGAAAAAATGTCCTGTTTCTCTGACTTTGTGGGAGAGAATCCCTCTTGATCTGTCCTGCCAAGGGCTGTTGCAGTTTGTGTAAACTCAGGGGTAGCTGGAACAAGGATTTGTATATAATTTCTGTATCTTACCAACTGGCCGTGTACCTTGAATGCGTGACTACCTGGGGGGTTCACAGCTGTATACTGGTCCCACAGGACGCTCACTCATTGCTTCTCCCCCACAGAAAGGCATCCTGGCAGAGAGTGGGAATATCCGCGGCAGCAGCTGTGCTATATGTGGAAACCATGTCCACCTGGTGCAGCGCCACTTGGTCGATGGGAAGCTCTATCATAGGAACTGCTTCAGGTACAGTTCTTCCAAGAGCAGCCACGTTCCTGCGTGTCTCAAGGGGCAGCCTGGCTCCTTTGGGATTGGAGGGGCGTGTTGCTGCTGTTCTCAAGTCTGTGAGCCCTGCACTTTCCTTAACCCTCAGCCAGCTCATAGGAGCTAGGCTGACTGTCCTGGGCAGCTGGAAAATTCTTCAGAGAGGTTGGAGGCACTTGTGGTGCTGGGGATGTTTGTCAGAGTGGAGGCAGCTTGGCCTTGTCTTGGCCCATGCTTAAGGGAAGGTTTGTGCACAGGTCTGTTCTCATTTACACATTTCATACTTCAGGTCATGCTACTAGCAGTTCCTATTTGGATGCCTGGAGAACGTGTGTACTGGGCTGTTCACTGCCAGTGTGATACGTTCACCATCCTTGTGTTGGCACTGGAAATGTCCCTTCATTCCCTCAGAGCTATAGACAATTCTGAGACTTTTCTATTCACAGGTGCAAGCAGTGTTGGAACGTGCTTCTGTCTGGGGGCTACAAGGCTGGACCTGAACCAGGTACTTTCATCTGTACCAGTCATCAGCAGCCAGAAAATGTCTGGAACTCTGGACTCCGGGCTGAGAACAAACCTGAGAGCCCCCGAACTTTTACCCCTGCCAGGACAGTCCAGAAACCAGCAGAACCCAAGAAGCTAGAACAGGTATTGAAGAAACCAAGCCAGGAAGGCCTTGCTAATTCAGCCAAGCCATCTGCTTCATCCTCTGGAAGTTCCGTCTGCAAAAGTGTAAATATGCCATGGTCCTCTTCATCTGTAAATAAATCAGGTCACCATGAAGGTACCCAGTCAGCAAATAAATCAGTTCATCGTGAAGGTTCCCCACCAGGGCCTCTTTGGACAACCTCCACAACAAAAACACAGCAAGCTCGAGCACAATTTTTCCAGTCAGTGGAGTCCCCCAGCAATAAAACCCCTGACACCAAAAAAGAAATCCCTTCCTCCCATGGCTATGCTAACACTGCCTTCTCCAGAAACACTGAGGCCAGTCCAGTGAATGCTGAGAAGGATCAGGCACGTAACCATATTATACAGGCCTTGGCTGGATCAAACACCTCTCCAAACAGGCCAGGAGGACTCAGTTCCCCTGGCTTCCCAGCATCCAGTAGGTAAGTCCTATTTTACTTTCCTTCTTTACTCCTAAGATGACCCTTCTCTGCGTCTTTCTTCTTTTCTCTCTAACTGCTTTTGTATGTGAGATTTAAATAAAAGTAGGAGGGACTCATCCAAGGCTTTGGAATAGAGGCCAAAAAAAGGCCTGTCCTTTCAAAAAGACTCACTACTTTTTTTCTTTCGCAGTAGCAAGTGTTCTCCCACCACTTCCCAGTGGCAGAATCTAGCTCCGAAAACACAGTCCAGCAAAACAGGATGCGTATCACTGAAGCAGGAGAAGGTTGCAGAGCCCCAGACCAAGAGTCAGACTGTCAGCAAACCTGTTGACTCTGTGCACAAACCAGAGTTTAAAGTCTCCAAAGGTGAGGATGACAGATTCATGTGGGGCTCTGTCAGCATGCCAACTCTATGTCCTTCTCTTGGGCTGCTACAATGAAGGTATCAGTGACTCCTGTACTTTCTATCTGTACCACTGCGTAAGAGTTTTCTGCATTCTGGCACTCAGCACAGTTCCATCAGTCCTTGTGTAATTGCTTCCTCTTGCAAAAAGAGTTTTTATTCTCTGAGTTTCTTCAGGTGTCTGAAACTGTACTAGCCATCGTTAGGTGTTGAAATCATGATGGATTTCAGAGGCTTAGGTAGAGATGGGAGACCTTCCCAGAACTTCAGGGCAGTGGTTATTGATGGGGCTTACATAACTTCTGTGTTTGTTTTGATCTGAGCTTATATCATGGTGACAAAACACCATCAGGGATGCCCTTCTGGGGGCACACTATGTCTCATCCACTTCCTAATTGCCTGGTCCTTCTGAGCCAGGAACACTATCTGGTGTTTGTTGTGAGCCTGTGCTTTCTTTTCCTCCATCTCTTGTCATTTCAGCTCCAACATTTGAGTTGTTTGTGCTGGGACCAAGCCCATGTGTCTGTTCATCTCCACTGTGACTTTGTTTCCTGTATTTGTGTAGCATTTAAAGCATTCTAATTGAAAGAGGCAAAATGCCACCAAGGTTATTTAGCTACTGCGCAGGAATCTGTCCTTCTTAAGCTTGTTGAACTGTGGTTTGCTACAGTAACATCCCAGTATGTAGGCGAATGCAATGTGCCCCTCCTGAGATCTTCCTGAGATGCAAATCTGGCTTATATCTTTCTACCAGATCTGATGTTATCCTGCTATGTCCTTTCCTTTAGGAAGTATGAACATCAAAGAAGACAAATCTGAGAGCCCAGCTGACTGGAGATCTCGGTTAAAGCCTGTGGCCAACAAGTGAGTGTCTTGGAGCCAGCATATTTCCGTGAGAAGTAAATGGATATGTCCATGTCTGCAACCATGTTGTGCATGCCTGTGTGCAGGCAGGGGGCAGGAGCTCTTGTGTTTTAATGCCTCTGTTTTTAAATATTTGATGGAAAAGAGTTTTTGTTTCTGAGGAAGGAAATAAGCTTCAGGTTGATGGGCCCTGATTAAGAGACTGTTCATTGTTCTGGATGGATGTACCAGCCCTGGATACCTGGAACTCTTATTGTGGCCCAGTTTGCTGGAGGAATGGATTTCTATATTTGTTTTCCCTCTTTGCAGAGACCAAGGAGGCTCTAAGAAACCTTCTGACAACTCCCAGATGGGAACAGAGAGCCCAGCACGGAAGGAGATAAAGCCAAGTCCGTCTGTTGTTCCATCATCAAAGCAAGACTCTGGTACAAAGGATATAAACTTTGCTTTGTTTTTCTAGACAGGCAAGACACAGCCATTAGTGCAAGATTAAGGAATATGTGGGTGGTACTTGCTCCTTGCTTTGAGATATTCTTGATCTCTGCGCTTCCTTTAGGCCTGCAGTGCCTCTGTCCAGAGAGCCAGCCCTCACTGAGGAGAGGGGCTTGGTCTTCATAGACTGCCTTTTCTTCTGTAAGACAGAAGGAGGCAAGATTTTGCTTGTATTGTCTTAGATAACTGTGTAAAGATGAGAATTTTTGTTCTTTGTCCTCAACCTTTGATTCTTCTAACCTTTTCTCACATTCTTGTGTTGTAATTATTGGTTACTCTCTGTTTTGTTTGGGTTTGTGCCCCTCATTGTAACTGAGAGAGGAGAATTAGGACTAGGAATGAAGGTGGCTAGTGGGGAGGGTCAAAGACTTTGGCAAATTAAGTGATTTTTTAATGAGGCGAGGTTTGAAACTTCTTACCCAGGACCTATCTGTGCTGCTTAATCTAGTTTCTCGTGGTGAGTTCACGAGGAAGAAGCTGCATCCCAGCTCAGATCTTGTTAGGAGCTGTCAGAGTTCAATCAAAGACTGGGAAGACTGTGGGCATTCTTTCAAGAAGGAGGAAGAGGAGAATCATTGGAAACAAAGCACTGACAAATGTAAGGTCATTTCTACCTCCTTAAAGCACTCTCCCTTTTGAACTGTCAGAAGATCAGGACTCTGTGAGAGACATTCATCCCAGTTTGCTGTGGCTAAACGTGTAGCTGTTGTCATGGGTAGAGGGGAAATCTGTGTCATTAACCCTTGGGTTAACCAGAAACCAGCCCGGGAATTCAGAGGGTAAAGTTATTCCAGGATGGAAGGGGAAGGATTTAAAATAGGAATTTGTCAAGGGTGTCCCTTGTCATTCTTTGATGTAAAGCTGTAAGAGGAACATATCCTAATGTGGGGAACTAGGATCTAGTTGAGGGCTCTGTTCATCTTCAGTTAAGTAGTTTGAGGAATCAGAGGGATAGACTGCTGGCAGAACCCAGTGTAGAAGCAGCCAAAGCTGCTGCTTGGACATTTAAAGAAGTTCTGACCAATTTTCACCAGCTCTGTGCTCCTATCCTTACTCTTAAAGCTTTCTTTTTTTTTTTTTTCTTTTTTTTTTCTTTCCTTCTGTTGGTTCAACCTCAGCTTTGCTGTGTACCTCTCCTTTGCCCGGTCATCTTGCTCCTTTCCCTCCTACCTAGCCCACTGCAAAGCAAATGAAATGTCATGGAACTAACCTGATGTTTGTTGCTGTCTTATTTGCTCAGCTTATTTGTTTTTTCCCCTTTCTTACCCCAAGTGTCTCAGTTTAATCTGTTTGGACTAGAAGCTTCAGCCCGGACTCTGGTGTTTGTGTTGGAGGAAACAGGATGGGCCCCCAAGTTTGGATAACCTCATCCTTTACTGTTAGCTCTCTCTTGCCCTGTTCTTAACCTTCACCTCTGACAGCTGATAAACTTAAAATAGACATGGAAATTGGAGTTTGAAAGCTTAACATGCTTCTGCTGCCATTATTTTCCCAAAACTTCCATCCTGTTTTTTCCTCAGATTTAATCTTGTGTACTTCACGCGGCTGTGGAGGGTGACCATTTCTGTAAATTATTAGTTTTCTCTGACATAGGTTGTATTTTCTGTTGAGAAAAGGGCAAGAGAAGCCTGGGGTCCACCTGTCCTGTTTCAAGTTTTCAGCCAACCAACCAACCCATCCTGTGTCTTAGGCAGCACCTGAGAGTGGAACTGTGATGCCAAAAGCTCCTGAGCTGGTCATCAGAGTGAAGTTTTACTACCTGTTCCCCTCCAGCCACCTCATTCTTCTTATGATCAGTGATGAAGCTTTCTGCTGTGCTTGGAAAGATGCAGACCTCACCCAGAAGGAGCCTGGAGATGCAGGGCCAGGCTGGGAGAGGCAGGAGCTGCTCAGTAAGCAGCAGGCTGCCTGGAGCAGCCCAATACCCTGGGAGAGGAACCCTTAGAAGTGTGAGTAACGGGCAGCGTAGGGGCAGCAAGGCCCCTGTGCCGTGAGGGGACAGCAACCCAGAGACCAGCAATGCAAACTTGGCACCGCTGAGTGACATATCCACCATATCCTGACATATCCTCCTTTTGCGCTTGTGCTAGAAAATGGTTACAGCGTGGACTGGGCAATTTAAGAGTTGTCCTTGAGCTCTTCCATGAATTTCTCATCAGCCACAGTCAGTGTGGTTGCCCTCAGGAGGCTCCCCAGTCTGTCTCTCTGTCTTTCTCCTCCTCATATGTGTGCTGAGCCTGCACCACTCCTGCCTTTCTTACAGCCCTGCTCTTTTGATACTAGAGGCTTTCCTTCTTATCACAGCATCCACGTATGGCTGTGTTCTCTCTCTGTGGTAATTATCCAGCCCAGCCCCTGGGGTATCCAGATACCTCACACTCTTCTGTAGTTATCCTCACAGCACAGTTGGGCAGAGGAAGCTGAGGCACAGTGGAACCAACACACATTGCTTAAGGATTGATTTTAATAGCTGCCCAGGGCCTAAATAACACTGTGTAGCTGGGCCTAAGGGACTTCTCACCTAGAAAGTGTTTTGTGGAAGGAATTGGACCTTAGTTTCCTGAGGCCCATATTAGGATCCCCTAGACCATCTTTGTTTTATCAGTATTTACCCATACCTCTTTGTACATGAGTGCTAGAGGGGCATTTTAAAGTGTAAAATAATGTCACCTGGGCTAATAACACAGTATTTCCGTTCATTGTTTTGGCAGCTTAGTAAGGGGTAGATTCTGCCACGATAAACATCTTTGAGATTTATTAAATTAGTGAATGAACATCAAAGTTTGTATTCCCCCTCCAGATGGCACTTGCAAAGCAATCTGTCAGATTTCATGAGGATTAGGTGACCGCCTATGTCCTGAGGAGACAAGTGGCATCCTGTGGCCTAAGAGGATCTGAGTATCCAGTAGCAAGGAGTAAATTGGGACTATCCCATCTCCTGCCAACAAATCCTTAGCCCAAGCCTGCTGTTGATTCATGTGCATTGTCAATGCTCTCTATTGGGTGCAGGGACCTGTTCTGCTCCCAGGTGTTACAGACAGTGTCCCACAGCACAAAGTTACTGAAAATTTGTTGTGGGGTTTCTTTTCTTTTTTTTTCTTTTTTTTTTTCTTTTTCATTCTAGTTAAGCCCTCTGCTCCGAAAAGCATCCAGAGCCTAGAAGCAGTATCCCCAACCAAGGTATGGCTGGAAACCATGTGTAAAGGGCACAGGTCAGGGGTGCTGGTGGTCTTGCTGGAGGAATGACCCTGCAGAGATGGAGACTAGCCCTTTTTCCTCACTAATATGTGTCAGATCATTTTACTGGAGGATTTAGTCAAATTCCCAGGAGAGGCGCTCTGGGGCAGAGATAACAGGGAGAGACTACAAATTCTCTACCATGCAAGGGGACAATAGGCTGGAAAAGGCTGGAATATGACAATAATAAGATGGTTTGCTGCAGTGAGACACAGACAAACTTCAAATAACAAATCTGTGGCAGACACAGACTCTCCCAACAAAAGAGCAGGAGTGACTGTGGATTGACTGTGTGTGCCAAGACCAAGTTACAGCCCCTGTCTGTGAAAGACAAGGAGTGGGTAGATGTTATTACCCTCCGTGAGTGTGTTACAGCCCTGTAACATTCCAGTGTTATCTCCGCTTTGTTGGGAACAACCAGCTCTGCATCTTTGCTGGCTCAGCACTTCCAGGACACGGCTCTGTAGTCGACCCCCTTTGTCCCTTCCCAGCTCTCTTGGATCTGTGCCCTCAGTGGGCAGTCTGAGGAGAGTAACTTGTGTCTGTTCCTACTGTTGTTTTTCTAGCTGCACCCAGACTATCTCCCTGAGGAGGAAATCCAGGAGAAGGTGCGTGATATCGAGAAGCAGCTGGACAAGCTGGAATTGAAAGGAGTGGATCTGGAGAAGCAGCTGCGTGGCTGCGAGGGAGGTAAATGAGACCAGTGGGGAAGGTGTGAGGCTCATGTCCTACTCCTGTGCATTCTTGGCTCCCTTTCTAGTTCATACTACATGTGAAAAAAACAGGTTTCCGAAGGTATCTGAGATAGCAAGAACTTTCAACCAGTTCTTACTGTTTTCATACCTATTGTTTCAACAAGGTCTTGCTGTGTTTATTTTGCTAAGGATCAGTAAGTTAGGGGAGCACAAAGCTGCTGTTGATTTGGCTTTTGGATCCCAAACCTTACTGGCTGTCACAATGGGCTCCCATTTCACAGGGCTTAGTGAGTTCATTCAGAGTGGTAGAGTTGAGCTGGCCACGTGGAAGATAAGCTGAATGCCCTGTGATAGAGTATCTGTGGGTACCTTCATTGCATCTACTGGGGGAGATGTGCTGCTGTTCCCTAGTAATACCCTGTAGGAATATCTTGTAGGAATGCCAAGGATGAGCTGTTTTCACTTGAGTTTGTCTGCGGCTCATACAAGTTATCCTAAGCTGTTCTTCAAATGATTATGTGTTTGAGTCAGGGGGAACTGAACTACTGCAGCTCCTGAAGGTGTCTTGGTGTTTGTCTCCTTTGCAGATGAGTCTGAGGATGCCCTCATGGTGGATTGGTTCAAACTGATCCATGAGAAACAGCTGTTGCTCCGACAGGAATCAGAATTGATGTACAAGTGAGTGCAGCCAGATACTCATCCATCTGTCTGTGCATCTACACGTGTGAGCAGTAAGCAATAAATGCAAGAAAATGGGGTAGCACCAAAAGTATTGTGCTAGTTGGTGGGGTGCAGGGAGTGTTGAGGAAGTCTCTGGGAGATCTGCCAGCATCCTAAGCCATTAGCTGATGAGCTTTTGCCACCTTTGGTGGACGGAAGAGCTCCCAGAGACTGTGACGAACCTGAGAGGAGGGAAACATTACAAATACGTGGGAAGATGATCCTTCCTGGCCTACCAACCCCTGCCTATGTTATGGACCCTGTTGAGGTGAGGCTTCAGCATGATATGAGAAGGTTCCAGCCCTACAGAATGAAGATGCAGTAACATGTACTTCTGTGCTCCCTTTCAGAATGAAGCAGCAGAAGCTGGAGGAGCAGCAGTGGAGCATTGAGACAGAGCTGCGGCACCTCATGAGCAGGCCAGGTGAGGAGCAGCTGCACTGAGAGAGTCCTGCTGGCCCCTGGCCGTGCAGAGTCCTCATCTTGTGCATCAGACCCACGGTGTCCTTCAGGTCTGAAGGATACTGCCTGACAGGGACTGCAGTTTCACTGGGGCATCTCTCCTGATTGAACTGGCAGCTGCATCCCCTCCGTTACACCTCGCCCACCCGTGTTTTCTGAGGGGATGTACAATGTGGTCCTGGGTATGGGGGATAATCAAATTTGGGCCTGTGGGAAGGATGTGTTGGAACAGGGTTGGAGGCAGAAGAATATATAGCCTGAGCTGCAGTGGAGCAGTGCCCCGTGTAGCTGTGATATGGGCTTCCCTTTTCTTGTGCAGAGGAACTGAAGACACCCAGGGAGAAGGAGCGAGAGAAAGAGCTGCTAGAGTCATACCTGAACACAGTCAATGATCGGAATAATATTGTGGAGTGCCTGGATGAGGACAGACTCAGGTGAGGAGCCTCAAGTGGTGGGGTTTGAGCCAGCACCAAGGACAATTTCTGCTGTGCTCTCTCCTTTCCCCAGGCTGTAGGGGTGGATGTATGACCGTCATTCACGTTTCTACTGCATGACAGGCTGGTGGTGACTTGTCAGCCAACTATTTTGCCTTAAATGCTGTTGCTGTTGCTTCCATGGCAGCTGTTAGAAGCAGGGGTCAGGCCTGCAGGCACAGTCAGTGCTCCCAAAATAATGCTGCTCTGCAAACAAAGCAGAGGGAAGAAATGAGTAAGAGGGAAGGAAGGGAGGGGCTGGAGAGAGCACTGGGGAGGATGAAGGCAGCATGGGAACTGCAGGAGGACGGTGAGATCACAAGGATATGAGTCTGTTCATCTGCTGTAGCAAGTGAAAAGAAGAGCCTTAGACATGGTGCTGAGAGATGGATCCTCCCCGGGTTCAAAGGAAGGCTGCTGGGTCAAACTGTTGGATTTGTGGCTCATGTCGCTGAGAGCAACCTCTGTTTTTTGCCCTCAGGACACTGACTCTCCCTTAACGATTCTAAGAATGCCCAGGCTTTTGGCTCTGGCCTCACCCAGGCCCTAGGAGACAGTGGTGTGTCTCAAATGGCCATGACTGAAATGCAAAAGCTTTTGCAGCACCGCAGGCTACTGATCTTAACCTTTACTCATCTTTTATGGTGTGGTGTTGCCTTATAACATAGTGAATTCAGATGAATCATATGCTAGCTGGGATTAGCACAGCACTGCTCTAGAAATCCCGGTGCAGGTCCTTGCTTTAAAGGAGACCAGGTGCAATCTGGATTTTACTAGGACAAAAAAAATGTCAGTCAATTCTAACTGGGTCACTTCTGAGTAGTCTCTGGCCTTCACATGTTGAAATGTCTCTTCTCCCATCGTGATAGAGAACAAACAGTTTTCTAACGTTTCCCTCTTTCACTACAGAGAGCAAGAGGAGGACCAGATGTTGGCAGACATGATCCAGAAGCTGGGTAAGGGTGATTTCTGTAGTTACAGAGCAGCACTGGGCTGCACCAAGGCTGTGAGTCTCAGCCTGCTTTGCATCTGCTCCCTCTCCTGCAGATGGACCTCGCGAGAGCCAGGAAGCAGAGAAGAAGCCAAGCAAGTTCCGCTTGTCCAAAATATGGAAGAAAAATAAGAGCTAAGCTCAGGAGTGATATTCCCTTGCCTCAGAGAAGGCTGTTAAAGAGATGTTCTCCTCTCACTGCTGTTTTCCTGAAGTCCTGCAGAACTGTGATCAGACTGCTCTTCCCTCTGACATGGAGACTGCGGATTTGCGGACCAAAGGGACTGTGCAAGTCCCCTCTGCCCCTGATATGGGTTCCAAGTGCATCTTTTCTGGACGATGGACTCTAAGACATCATCTTTCTCTCATCTAGCTCAGAATTGGTTTCAGCCTCATTGGCAGTTCAGGAAGGCAGAGCTCTATTTGCCCACCCACTGCTCAGGGGTCATTACAGCCCCGAATGCAGGAGTATGGCACTATGTGTCATCCCCTTGGTGTCACACTCCTGCCAGATAAGGCTGTGCCAATGACTACGTGTTGGCCCACAAAGGGCCAGTTCTTCCTCCTTCTCTGTGCGTGTTCTGGCTTTTTGGCCAGGCTCGGACATGCAGAGAGGTGCTACGGGGAACGAGGCATCAAGGACCTTCCCCCTCAGTGCATCAGTGTTGCAGAGCCCACAGCCAGGGAGCAGCAGGCAGAACCCCCTCCTTGTCTCTGGGGTGGCATGTCCGAGACCCAAGGAGGTTTCAGCAGCAGTGCTCTATTTTTAGACCTCCTTTTGGGAGTAGCCACAGGCAGGGTTCTTGGAGCCGTGGGGGGTTCCTCACCGCTTTGTT